CCATGTCCATTGGTGCCTCTACTGTATTCCTTTTCCTCAGTTTGCCCTACCTGGACTTGGTAACCCAGCTCTAATCCTTAGCTGTGTGGTGACCGGGAATCACTGCAGGGTGCCGCTGCAGGTCATGATCCCCCACGTCACTGTACTGCAGCTGCCTGCAAAGCATGTGGCGATGGCCCAGCCCAAGCCCGAGGATACCCCAACCTGTCTTCAGAGGAACTTCAAAGTTGACCTGGTGTGATTTCTTCTAGTTCATAAGCTACTGTTTGTCTTTTTTTTTTTGTTTTTTGAGACAGAGTCTCACTTTGTTGCCCAGGCTAGAGTAAGTGCTGTGGCATCAGCCTAGTTCACAGCAACCTCAATCTCCTGGGCTTAAGCGATCCTACTGCCTCAGCCTCCCGAGTACCTGGGACTATAGGCATGTGCCACCATGCCCGGCTAATTTTTTGTGCATATATTTTTAGTTGGTCAATTAATTTCTATTTATAGTAGAGACAGGGTCTTGCTCAGGCTGGTTTCGAACTCCTGACCTCAAGCAATACACCCGCCTCGGCCTCCCAGAGTGCTAGGATTACAGGCATGAGTCACCATGCCCGGCCTACTGTTTGTCTTTTAAGAGAACCACATCTACGATTTTGCCACCTTTTGGGATGGACCTCCCAACTGAAATAAGAGTTATGGATCTGGTATCTGAGACATTAGCAAACTATTCTTAATATTGAATTACAAATAGCTGGGGTCAAAACCTCACGTGCCTACAGACCCAGGCACCACCATACAGAAATCAAATGGGCTCGGGGTAAGAAAGACAGGGCAGCAATGTGTTACATACCAAGTGACATTCGGATTGGGGAGACAAACAGGAGCAGTAGAGGCTATGACACAGTGGAGAGTCAAGCATCTAAAGCTGGTTGCTACTATACAAGAATGAAGGCCCGTGTTATCAGAACTGGAAAGCGAAACCAGAAAGCTTCATTTTGTGTGTGCATGAAAACTCCTGATTATTTAAACGTTAGCAACTATTTCACAATTTCAAAACCTGGTGGGGGCCATTGTAAGGCCAAACAAAACATGTCTAGTGGCCAAATGTGGCCTTGAGGTGTCTGTTTGTGACCTCTGTTTTACACATATCCTACTGTTCCTGTGTTCAGCGGGATGCAGAGGGCCGAGGCCCTTTCCAGCTCTTACTGCCCTCCAAAAGACTACCCTAATGGCTGCTGAGCCAGACATGTCCTGACATTGCCGTGTGTGCCAAGAGTTTCCACAGAGTTCTTCATGCACCTTCACGTGTGGACAGTGTAAATAATTCTTCTCATGAAAAGTTAACTAGGCCTTGAACTCATTCAGCAGGGCCGCCATCTGGGAGTCCTCAGAAACAGTGAATTGTCAGCACTGTAAACATTTTAGGCTTCAGGGAGGACACTGACTTTTTCTAAACTAATCACCCCTGCCAGTCAAGATTTGCAGTATGGGTTCAAGAACAAGGCGTTCATTTAACAACAATAACAAAAACAGTGAGGATGAAAACCGGACAGTCATCATAATGAAAGGCCTAAAAGCAAACTGTGACTTCCCTAATAAGGCGACAGCCAAAGTTGGCTCCCTGGCGGTCGAGCGCCAATACGATTAATCAGTCTGTTTTCAGTTTTCTCACGACAGCAATATTAACAGTTTGCTTTATTCTGTTTATATGGTGCTGACAGGTCTTCAGCATGTTGGGCCTACTTGCTGGAGATTAATGGCCACTCGTGTACTGAGGTAAAACCAGGCAGGGAGAGTGCCTTTTACGACTAGATAAGAACTGGATTCTCTTGAGTTTTTTTGTTCCCCCATTGGCCATCAACTCCTCCCTCTTTTATTAATAATTTCTATCAGGGAAATGTAAGATTAGGGATAAACTGTGTCCAGCATGCTCCCCCCACTGTTTAAACCCGCCCCACTTTCGATGTCATATCCTCGGGCAAAACAAAGGGAACCTTAAATACTGATTTTGGATAATTTTATCTTGAAAGGTATTGTTGGATAACTTTGTTTTTAAAAAGTCAGATTCCATATAAAAGTAATAGGAATTTCAACATATTAGGTGGGCAATGGTTCTTCTTTGTATTTATAGTTATTTTTGTAGACACTGAAGAAGGTAGAGTTGACATTAAATTTGACCTGGTTACAGGAAGTATGGACACCCCAGAAAATATCTTAGAGCTTATTTCACTAAATAGTTATATTTTAAAATAAATCAAAAATATTTGAAATAATACAGTAAGACCTGCCTCTCCTTTATCTAGCCCCCTCCAAAATCTGTAAGAGTACTACCTGTTACTGGTATACTTTTCTCTGTCCCAAGTTGGAAAGAAACAGTAATCTCAAATATTATTTTAATAGTATATAAGTATAGAAAATCTAAAATAACAAAATTGAAAAAGCAATCCTCTAAGGTTTGGGAAGAATCAACGTCACATTGTTTGCTCTTAGGGACATTCTGTTCCACTGATTTTGTGAAACAATCACATGGTTTGCATTGTATACCTACGAACTGCAGGCCTTGGCCCAGCTAGGTGCCCAACCCATTCCCCTTACTCACTCTTCCCCTGACACAGAAGCAGGAAAAGGGGATTAATTCTAGTAGAGAGGACATCAGGGATTGATGTTTAAGTGGAACATTCTATCTAAAATTTTTAAAGCCAGATATAAGAACAGTCTAGGATAAGAAAGCATTAATAACACTAATAGCATTTACTGAATGCTTACTATGTACACATACTATTTTAAACACTTCAGTTATACAAACATTTAATTCCTGCAACAGAAAACTTCAAGGGAAGAGTGAATAATTTTGCTTGAAGTGCAGGATATTTGAGAGTGTAGAACAATATACTGGGCTAGATTTGGGCAGATCTTGAATTCTATACTTGTATTCTAATAATTTATCTAATACAAAAGTTGGATTGGAGAGGGAAGAAAGTAATTTAGATAGATTAGTTAGAAGTATATGGCAATAGTCTTGAGATTCTCAACCAGGATGGTACATTGGAAGCAAAAAGGAAAGATTTGAGAGCTATCTCAGAATCAACTAAATTTTTTTGACTGATTGGATTGCTCTTTCATTCATTTGTTTATTCATTCAACCACTATTTTTGAGGGTTTTAAATGGATCGGACACTATGCTAGATGACAGGGAAGTAAGAAATATAATTTGAAGACTACTCCTTCGCTCAAATTGAGCTGCTAGCTGTTGCTCAGTGGTCTAAAGTGACACCTAATGACATCCATCCCACCCTCCTTCCTTATCTCCCTCTATCTAGCCATTCAATACTTATTAAACACTACCTTGTGCCAGGCATTGCATTATATAATGGTCATGAACAAGTTTCAGTAAAGAAAAATGAAGGGAAAGTAAAAAAAGACTGCTGTCTTCACTCTCATAGCTGTGGGAGTGCCTTCTTTCGAGAACTTCCATTTTTTTTTTCCCTGGTGGTCTGGCCATAAGGCACAGTACGTGGTGGTAAACCACCAGACTGCTAGAATAGAGTAGGGATTCTTAGTCATCCATATGAGGAGAAGACCTCCTATTTAATTTCTAAATGTGTGCCCTGATTTGGCATATTTTAACTAAAGCACAACATTATGCCACAAACATATCTAACATAATGCCCATGTGTACATTTTAATATCATCTAAAAATATAAGCACAAGAAAAACAAGCTCTGAGCAAAGCCAAAAGGTACTGAAAATAATAGAACAAACATACTTTGAACATCAAAAATCTTATATCTAGTTTAGTTGGTAAATTGGTTTGAGGCATATAATTCCATTGCCTTCCAAGGTAGAGCCTGATCTTTTAAAATTAAGATCTGCCAAGACTTAATAAATCCTGACCGCTTTCTGGTGCTTTCTGAAAAACAGCTAGGTAATAGAATGACTACCACTGAGAAGTATTTTACTTTATGGCAGCTGCCTTTTCATTATTATTTTATGAGAGCTTGTCTAGATATTATGTATCCCTCACTATCTACATTTGGTTCTTTTAAAAATGTCTTCTTCAGATGCCTGGGGTTATGTCAGTGTTGTTGGATCCAATTGGATCTCAAATTGCAAACTCCATCACTTTAATATTTTCCAAAGGTTGTTATGCAGGTAGGGTTACCTCCAAAAACATTTAACATGACTAATGTATGCTGTCGGTCATTTCTATTAAAACAAAAAATCAAAAGGTATTTTTAGGGACTTATGAATGCCATCAACAATCATTTCAAGTATAAGCTAGTTCGTATATGCCAATGGTAAGACATTAAATGACCATAAAATCTAACTGGAAAAGAAGGAATTTTATGAGAGCAGGCACATTTTAACTTCAATTTTATTCTGAAGATCTGAGTCTGGTTTGGACTTGCATGTCTGTGAACTATGAGCTAACTGAGCTATGAGACAGCAGCCTTCACCAACTGTAAGATGAAAGGGCATAATCCTGAGCCTGTTTTAATTCCAGCTCTACTTCCTGCATCACTTAGCAAGTTTGGGTATTTGTTTCTGTATGGAATGTAAGATTTGAATAACCACCTACTTATTTCCCATTGTAAATGTTTTTTAGTTATGAAATATGCTTTTCAGTTATGCTTATTTTTCCTGATGATAAACAGAAATTGAAATTGGGAAAAGTATAAAACACCACATAAGTGACGAGTGAAGACACTCTCATGATTATTGTCTCAAATTAACACATTGGTAAGAGAAATATTCACCTTCCTGGGCACTCAATGGACAATTAAAAGCCTTCAGATACACTGAGACGTTATTTTCATTTTGCTTGGTTCAACCAGAGAGGAGACCTTGGAGGACATAGTCAAAGATGAGCCCGAGGGAGGCCAGTGGTGGAGACGCAGAGGGAGAGTTGGAGAATTAGAGGCGATCCGTGTTGGAAAGGCCCTTGGAGATCATCTAACCACCCTCCCAGGGCGGGAAAGAAAAACTAACCAGAGCCGTCAGACTTTTATGACTCTTACCTGCGGCGCAGATCCTCGGCCACCGCTGCCCGGCAGCTGAACAAATAGGCTCGCAGCGATTTCAGCCGCTGGCGCAGCCGCACCACCGCGGCCAGCGGCTCGGCGTGCTGGTACAGCAGGGGGTTCTCCTGCTGGATGTCGATCAGCGGCTCTTCGAACACGTACTCCAGGAACTCTTTGGCCTGCTTGGACACCTACGAGACAAGCATCGTCAATCAGTTCCGGTGAGCCATCCAGCTTTCCATACCTGCTCACACGAGGAATCACAGCTTAAATATCACAGCAAAGTTATTATATTCTGAACACAGCCAAATGAAAAAGCCCACAGTTGAACCAAATATAAATTCTGGCTTCACTCCCACCTAGAAACTCCACGAATGACACAGACTATACTGACTCATTATATTAATACCAATGTCAATGTCCTATTTTTTTAAACATATATTGCACTATAGTTACTTAAGATGTAACCAATGAGGAAAACTGGGTGAAAGGTACATAGGACCTCTCTGTACTGTCTATGCAATTTCCTGTGAATCTTATTTCAAAAAGAAAAAAAAAAGGAAATCATTAAGACCCTCTTAACAGCAACGCTGATTTAAAAACTACAAAAATATATACATATGTGCATGATATATGTATGTATATTCCGTAACACTTTTAAAAAGTAGCCACTTTTAAAAAGTAGGTAACTCATGCACATATTACAAAATTCAAAAGGAATAAAAGGATATCCTCCAAAAAAATGATATATGCAGAATAATTTGAATAGAAAACAGGCTCAAACACACTGCTTCAGTAACTAGAAAGGCACTGCTCTTATTAGAACAACTTTGAACTTGGGTGGACTCTGGCCAATATATCCATCCAACTCTATATCCACTGCTTGTCCTAAATAACAAAGACTACGAAAGTTGATTTTAAAATGTCCTGTCATCAGATGAAATAAAAAGTGCATTGTAAACAATGCATCAGAGATATAGAGGGAATAGCTTAAATGATACAATAACATGTAGGTAATTTTTCAGAATCTCTACATACCAGTTCACTGAAACTGAGATGTAAATTGGCTAGTGATATAAAGAAAGCTGGCTCAGTTTCTATTTATGGAAGGTAAAACCTCTCCAAAACTTTCCACTAATACCTCTCTAGGAGCAAGGCTGGAATTCAGCATTAAAACAAATAAACAAAAACTTTGCTTAATTAAAAAGAAAATTGAAAATCTATCTTTCACACTCTAGGCTAGAAGCTTAGAAGATACCTTAAGAAGATTAATATCTTAAGAAGATATTAATAAATATGATACAGTTACTACCCCGAAGGGGCTCACTATTTAGCATAAGAGACAAATATTTAAAACATGCTTATGCCTGTAATCCCAGCATTTTGGGAGGCAAAGGCAGGAGGATAACTAGAGGCCAGAAATTCAAGACTAGCCTGGACAACAAACATAGTGAGACCTTATCTCTACAAAAAAAAATTTTTTTTAAATTAGCCAGGGATGGTGGTGCACACCTGCAGTCCCAGCTACTTGGGAGGCTAAGGCAGGAGATCACTTAAGCCCAGGAGATCAAAAGTACAATGAGCTATGATAGAGCCACTGTACTTCAGCCTGGGCAACAGAGCAAGGCCCTGTCTCTAAAACAAATAAAGAAAGAAAGAAAACAAAAACTGCATGTAACATGTGGCCTGTAGCTTGTCATACACTACAAAAGAGTTACAGATAAGGCCCACTCATGGCTTTAAAGGAGGGAGAAATCAACTCTCATGGTCAGCAGAGGGCTAGGAGCCAGGAAAGGCAAAGCAAGTGATACTGGATCTGGGTCTAGAAGATACATACAAATTCACTTGGTGGACAATGGTGGGACAGAGAAGAGTATAACAGCTGGGCACAAACACGAAAACCCCTCAATATGCACATGTGATAATTAAATGTATAGCTATTGTGTGTTGATTTAAAATACAAATTTCTTATACATAGATATGAAATTCAATATGATTTTCTTATATTGTAAAGCTCATACTAAAGTTTATGTTCCTTAAAGGGATGTAAAAATTACATCATTTAAAAAAAAGAAGTCATTTTTTTTCCTTATAAACAATTATTTTTGAGGTACCTGTTGTATTGTGTGATCCTGTGGCATCCTGCAGAGTTAGAGTTAAAGAGTTAGAGAAGCTTATGGTCTCTGCAAATCCAGGTCACAAAGAGGCATGTAGTTTTAGCCAAAACCTTCAACCATTTAATGAGATTGAAAATAACAGTTATTCCAAGGTGATAGAGCTAACTTATTTTTGAGGCATATAGACAAAGGAATATGCCTGCTACCATAACAGGCATTAGGCAATCAGTAGAGGATAAACCAGGCATGGCTCTGTCCTTACCTAGCTCACAGTTCAGTGGGAAAAGACAGAATTGGGTTTAAATATTTTATTTATGATGTTTAAATATTTGTTATATATAAATATCTTAAAATGAGGAAAAAACTGATGGCATTCAGGGAAATGAAGTACAATCCACTTGAAACTGTTGCAAAAAAATGATGTATTGTACAATTCAATTAGTCTTTCTGGCTCTATTGAACAGTGTTTATATGGAGTCAGAGCCCTGCTGAATTAGGTTAACAATGCTACCTTTTAGTAGGTGAACAGAGGGACAAAGGGCACTGGCCAGTCTCCCAGGCCTTAAAAGGCTTCTCTCTTCAGGTGGTACTTAAGCCCAAAAGGAAGAAAAAATCTTTTACAGAAACAGTCAAAGCAGTGAGACAAATGGGATAGCTACTGACATCAGTATTCATAAACTGAAATTACGAAAAACGAAAACAGAGCTAGTTTCAGAAACGTTGAAGGCATTGCCTTCACAAGTTATTAAGGAGTGTTAAGCATATAGAACACATTGTTACTGCTGCTGCCTGAGTATGGGAACAAATCCCTGCCACGTTGAGCCATTTTTGGCAGCAAGGCTGAGCACATGCTCTAGTTTTTGAGAATCAACCACTAACACCGGTGAGGGAATTTCTGAGGGAACTAAAATTTGGCATGAAATGCTATTTTTACAAAATAGAGCACTGTATCCCCACTGATTTCCAAAGTTCTAAACAACCCTCCATACTGGCATGAGGATTCCACTTGCAAACTCAACTATAATTAAGAAGCATTTTAGAAAAAGAAAATGTTAAAAAAAAAAAAAAGTTACTTGGGGGAAAAAGGCAATGATATTCTTAGGTGATAAAGTTTATGTGTAAGAGAGTTTCTTTCTTGTTAATATGAGTAATATGTGAACACTGAGTATGTTCCAATGAAGAGCTAAGAGCTACTGTCCTACTTCTTGTCAAACAAATTATGGAAAATATTAAAAGCCCAAGTGTTGTTTCTGATGTAAATAAAAATGCAGTTCATAGTCAGGTACAGATGGATGAGCCCCAAACTCTTTATTTTTAAAAATGAATGCTGTTGGCTGGATCTCTTTTCCATGATCCACTCCATTCATGTTAGAATCAATTTTTACAGGGTCAATGGTTCATTTTTCAAGCCTATTGGCCTATTAGTATTATGCTAAATAATATTTCATATTTATTAATGATATTCATACTATTTATATAAATGAATTTCTTTAAGAACTCAACTCTGTGACTGTGGATGTATTGCAATTTGTGAACTGATTCTCTCTTCACAGCCCCGCAATCCACATGATTCAGAGAGATGAGGAGGAGGAAGTCTAGGGGTAAACAGGTCTTTTTCCCCACCTCACATTCAGGAGGAGTTGGAGAAAACAGCACAATCACATTACAATGAGCTACAAACTACTAATGACCAAATCTGCTATTTATACATGTATAAGTAAACATCTGTGTCATTTGATTTGAACATTAAGTGTCATCAGTATAGATTCTAACATAGCACATCTTTTGTTATGCTGGTGGCAACTATCTCTTTAAAACAAAGTTCTTGAATGTTGTTCAGGTTTGCAGTATCATGAGAGAGGTTCTGGAATGGTGCTCTGGTATGTTCCCCCACAAAAATAGCCCTGAGCAATAAAGTAATGGGGCAAAGGGAATGTTTAACCATAGACCTCAGTTTGGAGACGATGTAGTGTTGAGGTGGTGGGTGAAGACTTTACTTTTATTAAGGGAGGAAAATGTATCAGAATAAAACATATGAGAGAACATAATCGTAGAATAATAAGGACTGGTAAAGATAATCTAGTTCCGTTTTTTTTCAAATTGTGTTCCTGGGAATATTGGTCCAACAAAAAAGATGTTCTGAGGTCCAATAAGAAATATGCCACATATCACTTTCTTTTCTTGGTGATTCAAAGTACAGCATGTTAGCATATTAAAACTCTGGGACATCTTGTACTAAAGAAAATCTGCTTAACCTAGTCATTTACCAAACCCATTTGACTACAGACAGGGCCGCTATTTCGTGTTGCACTGGATGCAGGGGGGCGGGCGGGGCGAGAGTGTGGGAGCCTGGGCCCCACCCACCAACTAGAGGAAAGGGCATCTTTCCTACCTTGCTCCATCCTTTTGCCAAGCTGTAGTTTGCTGGGCTGTGTTACCTTGAGGGGTCCTTTTCTTTTCCAATTCTCATAAAGTTGGCCTAACTGTGGCCCTCCTATGGAGCCTCTTTTTGAGTAACATCTGTTAACATGTATAGAACTTGTTAATGTTCCATGGAATACACTTTGAGAAACACTGAATTAATCTATCCAGAGAGCTTAAGTGACTTACTTGTGGTCATTTCACGGCAGAACTAGAGCCAGAACTCCTATCTCTAACTACTCTACTCTGTGCTTTTTAGTATTCTTTACATTCACGGTTCTTTTTATTTTTTAATTACTCTGCTGGAATCGATTAGCTCATCACTCTATAAAAAAGGTGATACTTCTTTGCCTTTAAGCAAGTAGGCTACAAGTGGAGACTAACCTATAAAGAAAGTAGGCAGTACACTGGCATGCAGACTCCCATCTGATTTTAACTTTAAAACAAAAACTGAAGTTCAGTAACATTTCACTTATCCAAAAGTCACTTATTTGTGTTATTTGTTTACTGTCTTCTTCCTGCCACCGGAGTAAGAGCATCCATGGGGCAGAAATTGTGTCCCCAGTGCCCAGTGCCTAGAACAGTGAGTACAATAAGGATCCAATAAATACTTGTTGAATGAGTAATTTACGATGCTTTAACCATGACTTTGA